ACTATTATTAATAGTACTGTTACTATCACTACTATTATTAATAGTACTGTTACTATCACTACTATTATTAATAGTACTGTTACTACTACTACTACTATTAATAGTACTGTTACTATCACTACTATTATTAATAGTACTGTTACTACTACTACTATTATTAATATTACTGTTACTATAACTACTATTATTAATAGTACTGTTACTACCACTATTATTAATATTGCTGTTACTATCACTACTATTATTAATAGTACTGTTACTATCACTACTATTATTAATAGTACTGTTACTACTACTACTACTATTAATAGTACTGTTACTATCACTACTATTATTAATAGTACTGTTACTACTACTACTACTATTAATAGTACTGTTACTATCACTACTATTATCAATAGTACTGTTACTACTACTACTATTAATAGTACTGTTACTATCACTACTATTATTAATAGTATAGTACTGCTACTACTACTACTATTATTAATAGTACTGTTACTACTACTATTATTAATAGTACTGTTACTACTACTACTATTATTAATAGTACTGTTACTACTACTATTATTAATAGTACTGTTACTTCTACTATTATTACCTCATATCACTCAGTGTTAAACATAACCAGTCATCAGTAGTCCACCTCAAGGACCACAATGGAAATAAGTCACTTTGACTTTTTTGGGTAATCCTGGTGGGTAATTTACACATATATTACTATGTATGATAATTTGTGTAACTTTGTTTATGTATACCTGTACCCACATAGACTTACATGTGGTGGCCAGCACTACAACCAACACTAGCTAGCCACCCACACTTATTTAAACATATTAACACTACTACTGATAGTTCTGTTAAGATAAGATAAGATAAGATTTCGATCGGATTTTTAACCCCGGAGGGTTAGCCACCCAGGATAACCCAAGAAGTCAGTGCGTCATCGAGGACTGTCTAACTTATTTCCATTGGGGTCCTTAATCTTGTCCCCCAGGATGCGACCCACACCAGTCGACTAACACCCAGGTACTTATTTGCTGCTAGGTGAACAGGACAACAGGTGTAAGGAAACGTGTCGAATGTTTCCACCCGCCGGGAATCGAACCCGGGCCCTCCGTGTGTGAAGCGGGAGCTTTAGCCATCAGGCCACCGGGCCACATATATTATTACTTCAGGTGACTTTCCAAAGCCTTCTTGAAGACAGTCAGAGGTCTATTGGAAATCCCCCTTTATGTAATTTAAGAGGCAGTTGAACAGTCTTGGGCCCCTGACACTTATTGTGCTGTCTCTTAGCATACTCAAGGCGCTTCCAAGTTTGATGTGAGAGAGATGAGGATGCATTCTATGCTTCAGTTTCAGAGCCCCTCGCAGGCAACACAGTAGCCTCCCCCAGCAGGCAACACAGCAGCCTCCCCCCGCAGGCAACACAGCAGCCTCCCCCAGCAGGCAACACGGCAGCCTCCCCCAGCAGGCAACACGGCAGTCTCCCCCCGCAGGCAACACGGCAGCCTCCCCCAGCAGGCAACACAGCAGCCTCCCCCCGCAGGCAACACGGCAGCCTCCCCCAGCAGGCAACACGGCAGCCTCCCCCCGCAGGCAACACGGCAGCCTCCCCCAACAAGCAAAACGGCAGCCTCCCTCCCTTGAAGACTGTAAACCTATTTGAGAAATGGATTGTCAACTTGTGGAAGGAATTTATTGGCAGATGAAGAGAAGACAGTGTCAGGCTGGACTCCGTGTAATGTTGCAACACCCAGCCACTACTTTCAATGTTTTCATACTTGTTGATACATGTTGATGTTTGTATGGAGGTGAGGTCATGTTCTCTAGTGACGGGGGTCACTACACCAGGGGTCACTACACCAGGGGTCATTACACCAGGGGTCACTACACAGGGTCACTACACAACGTCACTACAAGGGTCACTATACAGGGTCACTACACCAGGGGTCACTACACCAGGGGTCATTACACCAGGGGTCACTACACAGGGTCACTACACAAGGTCACTACACAGGGTCACTACACAGGGTCACTACACCAGGGGTCACTACACCAGGGGTCATAACACCAGGGGTCACTACACAGGGTCACTACACCAAGGTCACTACACAGGGTCACTACACCAGGGTCACTACACAGGGTCACTACACCATGGGTAACTACACCATGGGTCACTATACCAGGGGCACTACACAGGGTCACTACACCAGGGGTCACTACACAAGGGGTCATTACACCAGGGGTCACTACACAGGGTCACTACACAAGGTCACTACACAGGGTCATTACACAGGGTCACTACACAGGGTCACTACACAGGGTCACTACACCAGGGTCACTACACAGGGTCACTACACAGGGTCACTACACAGGGTCACTACACAGGGTCACTACACAAGGTCACTACACCAGGGGTCACTACACAGGGTCACTACACAGGGTCACTACACCATGGTCACTACACCATGGTCACTACACCAGGGTCACTACACAG